CTTGGACGCGGACACTCGCATCGATTTCGGCGATCGATCGTGCAATAACAATCCGTTACCGTTGAGAAACCTGAAAATACAAATTAAACCGTTTTATACCTTTTTCAAAACCGATCCTTCGACGAATAGATCACGCAAACTAGGTTACCAACGTTCGCTCGTGGAATTTCTGCTCCTCCATTTCTACGTGTGTGAGCGAATGGAAGGGTGCTGTCTAATCGAAAGCACAAACAAGGCCCCAATCCCGTTCGCCATAGTAGTTACAATCACTTCGCGTTTTCGCGACGATCTCCATTCTTCAGCGACGGCTATTTCGCACCATCGTTTTTTCGCTCGCTACCACAGCAACCCACCCCCCAGAGCTCTGTCTGCTCTTTCTGGAGCTGCCGCTGCTATTATCCCGCACCGCCATCGATATCGTCGCACCATCAGACCATCCTTACAGCCGTCATCGTCTTTCACGATCAACATGGTTTCGGCAAAAAGGCCGGCGCCCGAGGCACAGGAGTAAGTCTCTTTCATTTGGCGAAAGTGGGACTCGAAGAGCCATTTTCGCTCGTTTCCGCCAATCCCTGAACAATACCGTCATTTTCCGGAGTAATTCGTTCTTTTCCGTCAAATTCTGAGTGAAATTCTCGCAAATGTTGCTCGCGACGAGTGTAGCTGTTATCTCGCAGCGCTGACATGCTCTCTCGCAACCGCCAGCGTTACCGCCTCAATTCGAAGCGCCTCAAAAGTCTTCTGAACCTTCTGTTATCACCTTTCCTCCCTCTCACTGCTTGCATGGAGTCGTGCCATCGGTCTCGTGAATGCCTCCGTATCTCACCCTGATTGCCACCAGTTCCCCCCTAATGCCGCCTATTCCTTCCTTCTAGCTGCCACCGGTTTTTCCTACATGCTACAAATTTCCCTAATTGCTACCGAATTTCTCTAAAAGCTGCCATTTTTCTCTATATGCGACCAATCTCCCCTAATTATTACGAAAAAAAGAATCCTTAAACGCTACCAATTTCCCATACCAAAATTCCATAAACAGTACCAATTTCCCCTATATGCTACCAATTCTCCTTCATACCAATTCCCCAGTAATGCCACAATTTTCGCAATGCTGCCATTTCCACCCTTTCTCCCTGCAGAATGGTCTCTATATCACTAATAGACATCAGGAAAGAGCTACAGTGCCCCATTTGCCTTGGTGAGAGAATCACTATAGTATTTTTTACTGTCAATTATTCACATACGTCTGTTTTTTTAATTCCAAATATTATACTCTTTTCCTGGGTTATCCCAAGGTTGTTTTCTCTGCGTGACACGTGTTGCTGACGTGGTGGTCTCCCATTGGCCGACAGGCATTATCAGGCGCACGCGCACAGTCATGGAGTGCTTGCATCGCTTCTGTGGAGACTGCATCGACAAGGCCATCAGGCTCGGGTGAGATGGACGTCAGCTTTGGTGAGATGGTCGTCAGGCTTGGGTGAGATGGACGTCAGGCTCAGGTGGCTCGAATGAGGTGCACGTCAGCGGGTGAGATGCACATCAGGTGCGGATAAGATGAACGTCAGGTTTGGGTGAAAAGGAGGACAGGCTTGGGTGAGCTTCAGGCCTGGATGTGATGGGGGGTTGGATTAGTTGCAGGCTCCGGTGAGTTGAGCCTGATTAGGTGAAGTTAGACTCAAATGATATGCGGGCTTGGTTGAGATGGAGGCTCGGGTGAGATGGAGGCTCGGGTGAGATGGAGGCTCGGGTGAGATGTAGGGTGGGTTGAGGTCACTGCACGCGCACAAATCCCCGCTTATAATGACAGGCAATGCGCCCCTCCTACAACTCCCCCCTCCCCCCCCCCCACCCACCACTCTAACCCTCCCCCTCCCCCCATGCAGCAACAACGAGTGCCCTTCCTGCCGCGCGCACTGCGCCAGCAGGCGGTCGCTGCGCGCCGACCCGCGCTTTGATGCGCTGGTGGCTGCTGTGTTCCCCAACAGAGATAGGATTGAGAAGGAGGTGCGTGAAAAAGGGGGAGAAGTGGGGAAGGTGATGGGGAGGAGACTGGTTGCTGGCTGAGCCGCTCTTTCGCACACTCGTGGCTGCTGTGTTCCGAGAAGCAGGCGGTCCCCATCAGGGATAGGATCGAGAAGGAGGTGAGGGGGAGGAGTGAGAAGCAGGTACGGAGGTGCAGGTGTGATGCCGAGAAGCAGGCGGTCTCTGTGAGGGGGTGACTGAGGGGTCACTGCGGGTCAGCCCGCGCTTTGATGTGCTTGTGGCTGCTGTGTTCCCCAACAGGGATAGGATCGTGAAGGAGGTGAGGGGGAGGAGTGAGAAGCAGGTGCCGTGGTGGTGCAGGTGTGATGACAATGACAAGAATCGTGGGGTCTCTGTGAGTGAAGGGGTAACTGAGAGGAGTCACTGCGTGGCGACCCGCGCTTTGATGCGCTGGTGACGGCTGTGTTCCCCAACAGAGACCGGATTGAGAAGGAGGTGAGGGGGAGGACTGGGAAGCAGGTACCGAGGTGCAGGTGTGATGCCGAGAAGCAGACAGTCTCTGTCAAGGGGTAACTGAGGAGTCGCTGCGGGCCGACCCGTGGCTGCTATGTTCCCCAACAGAGACCGGATTGAGAAGGAGGTGAGGGGGAGAGCGAGGGTGGGGGAGTGGAGGTTGGTTGGTGGTGCTGAGAGGTAACAAGGTGACAGTACTCTCACCTTCGATTAGCTGCAATAAAATCTGCGATTTTATCTGACCCGCGCTTTGATGCGCTGGTGGCTGCTGTGGTCCCCAACAGAGACAGGATCGAGAAGGAGGTTAGAGAATGGGGGTACTGGGTTGGCAGGTGCCAGGAACCGAGGTGCTGGTGTGATACCAAGAAGCAGGAGGTCACTGCGAGGGGGTAACTGACGGGCCTCTGCTCGCCGACCCGCGCTTTGATGCGCTCGTGGCGGCTGTGTTCCCCAACAGGGACAGGATCGAGAAGGAGGTGAGGGGGAGGGGCTAGGCTGGGATTGAAGGGGGAGAGAAGGGGGAAAGGGGGTGAATGGAGGAGGCTGCTTGCGGGCTGATCCCGCTCTTTGACGCGTTGGTTGCTGCTGTGCTGTGCTCCCCAACAGAGGCAGGATCGAGAAGGAGGTGAATGAGAAAGGGGGAAATAAGAAGGGGAGAAGGAGGGGAGGGGAGGGGGGAGGATGGTGGAGTTGAGTTGAGGTGCACAAGGTGATTCGGGCTCTGTTCTGCACTTGCAGAGGAGAGAGACTCCTCTGCACTTGCTCTCTCTCCTCGTTCATCATTCCCACTTGCTCTCTCTCCTCGTTCATCATTCCCACTTGCTCTCTCTCCTCGTTCATCATTCCCACTTGCTCTCTCTCCTCGTTCATCATTCCCACTTGCTCTCTCTCCTCGTTCATCATTCCCACTTGCTCTCTCTCCTCGTTCATCATTCCCACTTGCTCTCTCTCCTCGTTCATCATTCCCACTTGCTCTCTCTCCTCGTTCATCATTCCCACTTGCTCTTTTCTCAGATGCCTCTCCTGGCTTTCTCCCTCCCTTGTCTCTTGTTGCGCAGGAGATGACGTGGCATACAGAGGAGGCCAGGCGCAAGAAAGAGGGCAGCTCACCACCCTCACTTGCTCTTTATGTTTTTTTAGAATTCTCAGAAAACATACACTCACCACCCTCACTTGCTCTTTCGTCAGATACTCGTTCCTTGCATTCTCTCTCCCCTCTCTCTTGTTGCCCAGGAGATGACTCTGCATACAGAGCAGGCCAGGCGCAATGAAGAGGCCAGATCTCGAGTCGACTCAAAAGCCACCTTCTTCCAAAGACTCCTCTTCCTCTCGTCCTCTCTCCCTTGATCTCAACCTCCCTCGCCTCTTGTTGCCCAGGAGGTGACTCTGCATACAGAGGAGGCCAGGCGTAATGAAAGAGAGCAGCTCAGTACCCTCACTTGCTCTTTCCTCATATACTCTCTCCTCGCTTTCTCCCTCCCTTCTCTCTTGTTGCCCAGGAGATGACACTGCATACAGAGGAGGCCAGGCGTAATGAAGAGGTAGGCCCACCCCTGCCGTTTCTGCTAATTGACAATTCTCAAAAACTGAAGAGGTAAGCCCATCCCTGCCGTTTCTCCCTTCAACCGTACTATTCCATCATTCGCTGTCGTCCCATCCTCTTCCCCCCCCCCCCCAAATCTACCCTCCCCACTACTGGATTGCCTCCTTTTGTGCCCTGCCTCGCGCTTCCTTGTGCTCTTTCCTCTCCACCTGTTCTTCAAAACACTTCATTTCACTATAATGACCAGCGTATTTCCTCTTTGCAAAAACCTCTTTGTAGAGGTATCTAGGTAGATTTGCCACCACCACCACCACTACCACCAGCACCCCCGCCGCCGCCACCACCACCACCACCACCACCACCACCACAAACATCACCTCCACCGCCCAACAGTCCTTCTTTCCCTCAATGCATGGCTCCTTTCTCTCCTTCCTTTCTTCCCTCTCCCTCTCTGCCCATCAGTTTCAGCGTCGCATAAAGGAGATCTCTCGCCGGCAGGCACAAGTCTTTCGGATCATCTCAAAATGTGCAGACTCTCAAGTTGACTTAATTGACCCTTCTATTGTACCTTTTTGAGGCGCCTCAAAAGACTTACTTGACCCTTCCATTGTACCTTCCCCAACTTCCCTCCCTTCTTCCCTCCCTCCCTCCCTTCCTCCTTCCCTCCCTCTCTGCCCATCAGTTTCGGAGGCGCATAAAGGAGATCTCTCGCCGCCAGGCACAAGCCTTCTCCCGCCGCCGGCCCCCCTCCTCCCCTTCCCTCTCCCTTGCTGCCCCTGATGCTGCTGATGCTGCCGCCGCTGCTGCCAATGGTGGTGTCGCTGACGCTGCTGCTACCAGTAGTGGTGAGGAGAGGCAAACCACCATTACCACCACTGCTGCTGCTGCTGCTGCTGCCGGTGCTTCTGGTTCTGCTGCTGGTGCTCGTTTTGGCTCTGTAATCAGGAAGAAGACTCGAGAAGCAATGGTGGGAGGCACACGTGGGAGCCAGGGCGTTGCTGTGAAGAGTGTGATTATTGGAGAGAGGATTGCAGGGAGAGGGAGAGCGAGTGTGGTGGGGAGTTGTAGAGAGGAGGAGGAGGAGGAGGAGGGGGAGGAGGAGGAGGAGGAGGAGGAGGAGGAGGAGGAGGAGGAGGAGGAGGAGGAGGAGGAGGAGGAGGAGGAGGAGGAGGAGGAGGAGGGAGGAAATGAGGGGAGGAGTGAAACACGAGGAACAGTCAGTGGAAGGGGAAGAGGTGGAGGAGGGAGAGGAAGAGGAGAAGGTGGGGAAGCTAGAACAAGAGTTAGACGAGGAGGAGGAAAGTATTGCGAAAGAGGAGGTGGGGGTGGAGGAGGAAGAGGAGAGAGGTGGTGAAGAAATGGAGGAGGAGGTTCGGGTGGTAAGTGCAGGAGTGCAGAGGAAACAGAAGCGGTCTGCTAAAGCAGGAGAGCAGAGAGGGCAGAAGAGGGGATTCGGAGATGAGGGTGAGGTGAAGGGAGAGGGAGGGGCAAGCTTTGAGGCGCCTCAAAAATCCGCGAGACATGACACGACTTTTGAGGCGCCTCAAGAGCAGAGAGGGCAGAAGAGGGGATTCGGAGATGAGGGTGAGGTGAAGGGAGAGGCAGGGGCGTGCAGGAAGAGAGCAGGCGATGGGAAAAGTGGAAGCAAGAAGGTGCGGCAGGGTGAAGCAACGGATGCTGGGATGAGGGAGAAACGGGGACAGCATCGGCTATCAGGAGCATTTGGTGCTGATTTGGCAGCAGCGACAGCAGCACAACCATCATTGGCAGCACATGGCCTTCGCATGCATGCGCCAACAGCATCTGAGCTGGCATCTGCAGTCCACGTGGCACCTGCGCTGTCACCAGGAGTGAGGGAGGGGGCAGGGGCGAGGGGAGAAGCAGGAAGGGGCACACGACCAATGCAGGTGCTACCAGCTTATGAGCCCAGGGCGATACGCTGTCCCCGCGCTTCTCTGCTTGCACGCTCACTGGCGGAGGAGAGTCTTTCCTCTTCCATACTGACAGGGGCACCCCAAAGCTGCAGAGCTGCTGCTGTGGGGCCTGTGCTGGCAGATGATGGGAATGTGGCCGGTCGGGCAGATTCGGCTTGCCTGGATGGTTTGACAAGTCATTTTCTGGCTGGTCAGGAGAGTGCTACTGGGAACATTTCTGGTCAAGAAAGTGTTTTTGAGAGGATGTTGAGGCTTGTGGGTGGTGGATTCGAGGGATTTGGGCCATATGGAGGGCGGGTGCGAGGCAGAGGCAGTGGTATGATTGGGGATGATAGTGGCATGCTGAAACAGCAGGAGACGGAGTTTCGGCAAGGACCAGAGCAGGGGGAGCAAGGCCAGGACTTGAAGCAGCAGCGGGGTGACGGTCTGCAGGAGCAGAAGCAGGAGAAGCAGGAGCAGCAAGGGCAGCAGGAGCAGCTGCAGCAGCGAGTGCAGCTGGGGGAGCAATATTCGGATTTGGTGCATCTGCAGGTGGTGCTGCAGCAGCCAGGAGCATTGGAAGCTACAAGAAGCTTGTTTCTTTGCTGCTCTCCTGCGATCCCTGTTGCTGAACTTATTGAGAGGGCCATCAATGAGCCATTATAGTAGTACTTCTCCTGTTTTCCGTATCTGCTCTTTGGCAGCTAAGGGTCGGTGTATAGCCTAACAAGTTAATCTAGCTACCTAACGAGTTCGTCTGTGTGTATTTGCGCATTGCTTCATGGTCTTGCTGAATCTCTATTGTAAAGTCGTAGCTAGAGCCCACAAAAGGAGCAGTAAATGACATACAAAATAGAAATATGAAATCTGATGTGCAAGAAAGCATTGCACTTGCATGCACTAGTGTAATGAGATGAAATCACGGCGAATTTGGCAAACGCGCGCCGCGACATTCCCCATACCGACATTCGACATGTCATGTTCAGGGATTATCGCACGGCTCACCACCATTTACACTTGAATCGCACGGCTGAGAGGAACCTTGGAATGGGTTCGGCTGCCAGAATGATGTGCCTTTCAGATCAACCGAACACGGAAACCTCGATAGCCGAAACGGGTGTCACTAAACACTTCACTACGGTTTTGCCTGAGTTACTACGGTCAAAAGCGGTGAAGAAATCAAACCGCTTACTACCGTGTAAGAACCCACAGAACCAGGCTGCACATGGTGGACGAAGGCTCACAGCAACCTAGAGAAGAGATCCTATATTTGGTTTCAGCAGTCGCCAATTCATTCGCAGCGAGATGCTCCTGATTTCCAAGTTTCTGTGTTGTTGCTTCTCTGCCTGATTCTTGCATGCGAGTGTGAACGCTGGGGAAAATCTCGACCTCGACTTTAACGACGTTCCAACTACCCAGAAGGCTTTCATAATAACTAAGTTAGCGCTATCAATTTCTCCAGCAAAGATATTCTGTCTCTAAATCTGTGCCTTTCTGATCATCGGCATCATGACTGCAGTAAAGTCTGTCACCTCCACCTCCTCAGCTTTACTATCCTCGCCATCAAACGAAGAACCTTCGGAAGCCATGCCCAGCCAGCTAGAGGCGTGGTTTCTGGACTCCATTTGGGAGGACGAAACACCTGACATGACGGTCACTGTCGGCCAGAACGCGCTCTGCCAGCTAGACGGAACCGCGACCGTCGCGTTTCCTCCCGACGCCGTCTTCAGCCTCGTGTGCGACCCATACAATCGCCGCGTGTTTAAGAACATCAAATCTGTGCGGAACCACTACGTCGTGCGTGACTGTAACGGGGTGAAGGAGGTCGAGATGGACATGACATTTTCGTTTCAGCTGCCGTTCTTTACAGGCACATTCGATGCGCATATGCGCATGGTTCAGGACAGACCGAACCGCACCATGACCTTCGCCCTGACTAAACCTGGCTTCATGCGGAAATTTGAAGGGTTCTGGAAAGTCGAGCCTCTGCTTGCCTCTGCATCCTCTGCTACATCTATACAGCATGCTGCATCGTTACCAGACCAGTCCAGCTTCCGCCGTTGCGAATCTACGGAGTCAAGAGATGGCAGCACGAGCTTCGACGAAAGCAGCACCAGCAGCAACGAATCCGATGAAGCGCCAGACGTGACGGATGCAGATGGTTCAAATCCGACTGCACCTGACGGATTCCGTCTGGCTTCCCGTCTGGTGCTCTGCCAGATTGTCCAGCCGTCAGTGGCACCGCCGGCCATTTTCAAACGATGTCTTCACAGCCTGCTGCAAATGGCCACGAGGGACGTACTGCTGGTCTTCCAGCAAGAGTCTGCTCGTTTGAGAGCAGCACAAGGGGAGGAGGTGAGGGAAGACGCGGAGAAGACAGGGGTTACGTCACTGACATCTAGAATGTGGAGTATTTTGAGTGTGAAAGCTTGATGGTCCAGCTTTGCTGTTTCTGCTACTGATGGCGCTGGTCTTTCTCTGTGAAATCGTTTGTATGCTTTCTGACCCTGTGCGAATCTATGCAGACTGTAACCTAGACACTGTAATTTGGTATAAGCGACACTTTTTCTAGTTTTGGAAGAAGTGCAACACGTACAAATAGCCTCATGTTTCAGAGATCCTGATCCAGCGCAGCCTGCTGCAGCTGGCCGCGGGGGAGGGAGGTACTGCTGGTCTGACTCTTGGCTGAGGCGCTGGAGGTGAGGGAGGTTGCAGCACTGATAACTAGAAGCGGCGTCTGTTGTGTGTGATACAGGTGTTGCTGTTGTTTGTGCTGGTGTTAGTGCTGGTCCATCTAGGATGTGCACACAACTGTTTCCTGTGCTAATGCTTACACTGCATCATGTTAACCTGGTAACCACTGAGAGATGGTAGCATGTCAGTTATTCAACTATTGCACAAAAGTCTCACCACAGAACCATTTTCCATTCTCACCCCCTGCCCAAGCAACCTAACAGTTCGATTTTCAGGCCTAAAAGTAAATCAAAACTCAGTAACCAAGTTACCAGCATCTCTACCGGCCAGCCACCACAGGACAGTCCGCCGCCCTGTGCCCAGGTTGCTTGCACAAGAAGCAAACCCCCGAAAACCCTCCTCCCGCACCCCCGCGACCATACGACCCGCCGGGTGCACTGCGCGTACGCTCTAAGGGGGATGGGGTGTAGTACCCATCACTGTCCTCGCTCTCCCAGGCATCAGAGGTGAAATTGCGGCGGTTGACCAAGCCTCCGCCAGCCGGGCGGCGATCCCGAGAGGAGAATCGGTCACGATCTCCACCAAACCTGCTGCCGCCACTGCCGCTGCTGCGCCTGTCACCCACATCTCCCCAGCTGCCAGACCTGGGAGGGAGGAGTGAGGAGACGAGGGAAAGAACCATGAGACCGACCAACCAATCCCATGGCAAAAGGAGGTGACTATTGAGTTGACTCAACAGTAACCCAGGGAGGGAGGAGTGAGGAGACGAGGGAAAGAACCATGAGACCGACCAACCAATCCCATGGCAAAAGGAGGCGACTATTGAGTCGACTCAACAGTAACCCAGGGAGGGAGGAGCGAGGAGACGAGGGGAAGAACCATGAGACCGACCAACCAATCCCATGGCAAAAGGAGGCGACTATTGAGTCGACTCAACAGTAACCCAGGGAGGGAGGAGCGAGGAGACGAGGGAAAGAACCATGAGACCGACCAACCAATCCCATGGCAAAAGGTGACTATTGAGTCGACTCAACAGTAACCCAGGGAGGGAGGAGCGAGGAGACGAGGGAAAGAACCATGAGACCGACCAACCAATCCCATGGCAAAAGGAGGCGACTATTGAGTGGACTCAACAGTAACCCAGGGAGGGAGGAGCGAGGAGACGAGGGGAAGAACCATGAGACCGACCAACCAATCCCATGGCAAAAGGAGGCGACTATTGAGTCGACTCAACAGTAACCCAGGGAGGGAGGAGCGAGGAGACGAGGGAAAGAACCATGAGACCGACCAACCAATCCCATGGCAAAAGGAGGTGACTATTGAGTCGACTCAACAGTAACCCAGGGAGGGAGGAGCGAGGAGACGAGGGAAAGAACCATGAGACCGACCAACCAATCCCATGGCAAAAGGAGGCGACTATTGAGTGGACTCAACAGTAACCCAGGGAGGGAGGAGCGAGGAGACGAGGGAAAGAACCATGAGACCGACCAACCAATCCCATGGCAAAAGGAGGTGACTATTGAGTCGACTCAACAGTAACCCAGGGAGGGAGGAGTGAGGAGACGAGGGAAAGAACCATGAGACCGACCAACCAATCCCATGGCAAAAGGAGGTGACTATTGAGTTGACTCAACAGTAACCCAGGGAGGGAGGAGTGAGGAGACGAGGGAAAGAACCATGAGACCGACCAACCAATCCCATGGCAAAAGGAGGTGACTATTGAGTCGACTCAACAGTAACCCAGGGAGGGAGGAGCGAGAAGTGGGAACGAGTCATGGGGCAAGCCAATGCCACAAGGTAAGGACGAAAAATCGATTTGTCATTGCGTGGCAATGGCAACATAGAGGGATCATGTCCCATGACATCACATTCAATGCCATTCCAGTACCTTCAGCCATCACCCACTTCCATCTGCACTAATTCATTCATCCATGCCATGCCATGTCACCCAATGCCATGTCACCCAATGATATGCCATGTCATCCAATGACATGCCATGTCACCCAATGACATGCCATGCTACATCATCCCATCATCCCATACAACAGAGCAAATTCGAATAGCACCATTCCCACCACTCACCTCTCTCTCCTGCCGCCGTCGTCACGCCTGAAACCCCTGTCGCGGTCTCCTCCTCTTCCCCCCCTGTCCCTGTCCCCACCACGGGAGAACCTGTCGCCTCCGCCCCTCCCCCTGTCTCCCCTTGCTCCAAACCGCCCGTAGTTATCCCTATCCCTGCCGCCTCGCACGTCATCGTCCACTAGCGTGGGCAGCTGAGAGGCACATGGGAGAGATGGGCAAGGCAAACAGACAGCACCGCACAGGGGAGAATAGAACAGAAACATGAGCTCAGGTGTCCCCTTCTATCCTAACCGCCCATAGTTGTTGTCCCTGTCCCGGCCGCCTCAAACATCATGTTCAACCACCTTGCTTTCTGACATAAGATATCTGACATGTTTTTAGTCAACATACTTTATCCAACATAAATGCTCTTAAGACGACAGCAGAAGCATGCACGCACCTGGCGCGGAATGTCAAAAACGCCGCCGTTAGCCAATCTTGAGGCTCCATGACCAACACAACCACTGTCCACCAACAACAAGACAAGGCAATAAATGCAGACCCAGCGGACAGCTGTCACACACGCACCTGACGCGGAATGTCAAAAACATCGCCGTTGTCAATCTTGAGGCTCAGCAGCTCCTTGGCCACGTCCTCTGGCAGATCAAACACTGCTCCCTCCACCTGAAGTAAGAAGGACGTGAGAGAGGCAACAGGGGAAGGGAGAGGAGAAAGGTTGAAGACACTCAATCCAATGAACACTCAAGGTGAGGAAAGTTGAAAATACTGATATAGTCAATGCCTCAGGACTCAGCCCACGCATCCGCGCTGCAGCGCCCAATCCCCATTCCCCGTTCCCCGTTCCCTATTCCCCAATCCCCGTTCCCTATTCCCCAATCCCCGTTCCCCAATCCCCGTTCCCCAATCCACAGTCCCCCATCCACTTTACAGTTCTCACTCTCCCCACAACACCACTCACATCTCGCTCGCCCAGGATTTTGATCTTCCCAACGTTGTCCGCCGCCCGGCGGCAGATCTCGCCGAGAGTCCCCATGACCGCGCGCGGGGAGATGAGCGGGCCGTTGCGGCTCTTGGCCGTGCGGATCACGCGCACCGTCACATACCCCTCCTCGTGCGTCAGCAGCGACCGGGCGGCGGGCGGCTGGCTGAACCCACTCAGGTGGGCGATCGCGGCAGCTAGTGCCATCGGGCCGCGCTCCTCAAGAAGCTTCTCGGCAGTTTCAAGGAAGGACTCGGCGAGCTCAGGGTGGACCCGGGAGATGAGGGCGGCTGATTGGTTGGCGGAGGCTTGGAGGACATCGTCGGGGTGGGGCGGGGAGGCCTTTTCAAACTTGCAGCCGATATCACGCTCGATCATGCGCAGGGAACGGAGCTGATTGGGGGGGAAGGAGACGGGAAGAGGGGGAAAAAAAAGGGTTCAGTTTAAGCTTCACAGTCATTGGCCAAGCTCAACCACAGGGAGAGGAGGGAGAGAGGGAGGGAGAGGGGGATGGGAGATGAAGGGAAGGACTCGGCGAGTTCCGGGTGGACCCGGGAGATGAGGGCGGCTGACTGGTTGGCAGAGGCTGGAGATTGGTTGGAGCACATCGTCGGGATGGGGAGGAGAGGCCTTTTCAAACTTGCAGCCAATGTCCCGTTCTATCATGCGCAGGGAACAGAGCTGACGGGGGGGGGGGGGGGGGGAAGGTTGGGGGTGGCGGGGTTGGTGGGGGAGGGGTTGTGGAGGGTTAGTGAAGAGGAGTCTGAGAAAGCATGTATCAATTTTGCAGCCAATGTTTGGCTCAATCATGTGGAGCGAACAGAGCTGGAAGAAGGGAGGGGGAGGAAGAGGAGAAGGGAAGGGGTGTGTGGAGGGAGGGGAGGGGGGGTGTACATGAGGATGGTGCACCTTCACAAGCACATACTTCCTAGTCACACACAGTACACTCAAACGCACCTGCGAGTCGGTGTACATGAGGATGGCGCATCCGGTCTTGCCCGCTCGCCCCGTTCGCCCCGACCGATGCACAAACGTCTCGGGGTCGTTGGGGATCTCGTAGTGAATCACCTGAGGGGGGGAGGGATGGAAAGAGGGAGAGGGGGTGGTGGTGGAAAGTAGAGGCGGAGGAGAGGGGGTTCAATGAGTGACTGACAGATGCACAAACGACTTGGGGTCGTTGGGATCTCGAAGTGAAGTGAATCACCTGGCAGGAAAGAAAGCAAGGGGGAAAAAACGGGTGTCATAGCATGGGTGGAAGGAGTGAGTGTGAGGGAGTGAGTGAGTGGCCAGTTGAACCATGCACAAAGGTCTCACCAGGGTCGTTGGGAATCTCTTAGCCAATCATGTGGAAACGCGAGCACGGGGAAAGGTAAGGCGTCGGGGAGGAGGGGGCGGGGCAGGAGGAGAGGACAGCCACGTGTAAAAAGTGTATTTATGAGACGTCTCTAGATCGACGAGCTGACACTTTTTACACGAGGGGGCAGGGCGGGACAGTCACTTTTTACACGAGGGGCGGGGCGGGAGGAGAGGACAGGAATGACAACAATTCCTAGCCGCAGACACACACGTGCTGATTTTTTCATAAGGAGCTTCGCCATTGAAAATGAGATTTTTTCGAGTATCACCTCCTCCTTTCAATCTTAAAACCAGTGGTTCCTCTAGGGACCTCTAGGGTTCA